CCAGGGACTGAGCTGAATAGGAATTAGTATTACTCTCATACATACGATGTTGAAAATTTACGCAAGGCTTTTTTTACTTCTGAAAAATGTTACGTGTTTAAATTTTACGGATTTATAAAGCTCGTAAAAATTAGTAAAAATAAGCAGCACGTAAAAAATACCCGTTATACGGTATATTTCTTTTATTTCAGGCAAAGTTGGCAGCTTCATCATCTGTGTCTTTGTGGAAAGCGTAGAGTTGTTTATTGTAAAGAACGCCTCAGTAGACAACAGATTACAGATATCTAAGAGGTTCAAGAAAACCTCCTTTATACTTGTGGTTCTACGTTGTTCCCTACAGGCCACAGATATCAAGAAACTGTTGTGAGGAAGGAAGGGCTGGAGTGTGCAGCGGAAATGGAGACTACCTATTATGCAGGTATATATAAATAAAATATTATTTTTAAAAGCAACGAAGACTAGATCCAGAAATTATATTTTACACCTTGAATATATTTATGTTATTTTAGAATCACTTTTAATAGCATTTAACTTTTAAGCATTTCCGCTTGCAGGCATCACCACCAAGTTTTAACGGGTATGTTTCTTTTGTGAGGACATTGAGGTGGACAGTGCTTCACAGTCTGTGCAAGACTTGAGAAAAAAAAAAAAAAAAAACTATAGCCTTCTCCGACCTATTTGTGCAAACTGTATTTCAAAAGGGATCCAGCCTAAAGTTCGAAATGCTTTGAAATTGAACCAAAATGGATCCCGAAAAAAAAAAATAAAGTTGAAAAAATATTTTGTGTTTATTATTTTTATTTAAACAATTTAAATGCTACTCGAAAAATAAACTAGGTCAAGGTTCCGAATTATTTTTTTCCGACCACACAATGCATATTATTGTGGCCAAAAATCGTAAACCAAAAAAAAAAAAAAAAATTAAAAAAATAACAAAATAAAAATAAATAAATAAAAACTTTGGCCTAGTGGGCATTATGGAACACAGCTTGAGGGTGATTTAAGGTCGTTACGCCCTGCAGGACAACTGGAGAGTAATAAACCAGGGTGCTTTTTCTACACAGAGGAGGCACAGATGGGTACATATTTAAAACCTGTTAGATAATTTTACCAGAAATATAGCTGGTATATGATATGGGCTCTTACAGTGTGACACTTATTTGAATAAACGAATGTTAAAATTTGAGTGGATACATTACCATACATGTAAAAATATAATTTTTGACTGAGATTTAAGAAAGATGTGCTTTTGAAATAGTACGTGTAACCCATAGAGCAGATAAATCTGAAGTATCATAAAACTAAAGGCAAATACGTACTTTTTTGTGAAGACAGATAATGAAGGACCCGAAAGTTTGCAAAATAAGCAATTTCATAATTGTAAGTTTAAACTCTAAGTTAATTTTCCTTGAGGAAATTTTAGAACTGCATGAACAAAGAGAGAGCTAGAAAATTCTTTGTTTAGATGACAGGAATATTAAGGAATAGATATCGCCAAGATATCAAAGCTATCATAGAGTTACACTTCAGAAGTTGTGAAGTACAGACAAGTTCAAAGCCATAAAGTCAACCTCAATTTAGGGGGAATTATATCCGCAAGGACTTTAAAACACTGGAAATATTTGGGGCTAGATTATAGCAAATCTTTCATTTCAAGTGACCATTTAGAGCAAATGATCACGTGAAAGAACATTTCGTAGTTAAAATACACCTTGACCTGATTGCTGCCAGGTACATGTAAAACAGCTCAGAGTCAGTAGTGAACCACCAGCTGACCAGACTTCAGGGGTCATCACATTGTCATAAAGAAATTCAGAGTGACCTTATAAAGCCACGTGGAATGTCAGAGTGAACTATGTTGATAAATAGTAATATATGATCAAAGGCATTTCAAATGTGCATTATATTACAAGTTTTGCTTTGGATTCATATAAGCAGAAGCAGGTCTTTTTTGTACAAAAAATCCAAAAGAACTCATTCATGTTAAGATCTGAAAATACACCACTGAACGGTATACTTTAAAGGCAATTTTTCTTAAGGATCAAAGGGAATCGTACCCGTGTCTGGTTCTGTTGAGGGTCCAGATACTTTTCAAGATTTTAAGTTTTATCAGGGGTATAAAATCCTTTATAGATGTAGGTCAGATATATATCTTAAACTGTTTTTGCTGACAAAGTTGATATAAGAGTTTTTTCTTGGACATCTTTTAGTAAACGTACAGTGATTGTTTACACACACTTGTTTGTGTATGAGGGGGAACTCACCCATTCCTGTATAACTAGTAAAAATCTTTGGAGGTTTTTCTACTAGATCTTTCACACAGGAATAATTCTATCTAAAACAGTAGAAGCTGCAGGTCTAATCTTAATAATTATGAATAGCGACCTGATCTCCCCTCAAAAATAAATCAGTCCGTTGAGTTTTGTATGAGTGTTAGGGCTGCTCAATAATATCGATATTCAGGTATATTGCGATTCGTTGACAAACGATGTGGTATTGTGATATTTTTTGTCTTTACCGATATACCGGCAGAATGATTGGACTTGGGGTTTCTTAAGTAAAATATGATGTCATGGACCCTTTAATTATGCCAAACAGTGAGGCTGCTGTTATATGAGTGCATTTCGTTGCAAAACTGTGGTACCCGGTGAAATCAGCAATTAAGAACTTGTTTGTTATTTATAAAAGTTACAAACATTCTGCTTATAAATGGAGGTTAATAAATTAAGAAAAGGTCATATTACCTGTTGTAACAGTTTAAAATATCGCAGTATATCGCAGTACGAAGTTTCTAGCCGATACCCAACCCTAACAAGTCTCAACATTGTATTTTATATATTTGGAGATCAGATCTTCCAACAATCTGTTGAAATTACCATGAGTACCAATTTTGCGCCGTTGTTAGCAAACCTATCTTTGTATAAAATGAAGCAGAATTTATTTAAAATCTTATACACGATGAGACAAAGAAATCTATAGCTGTGGCCTTCAACTCGACATTAAGATATATCGAATTATATATATATTACGTATTATCAATTAACAACAGTTATTTCCATCCGTATATCGACACGATATATCCCACCTTGAAATAAAAATAATACCACAGATACCACAGAGTCTGATACATCTATTTCAAATTTCGATATTTTACTAGAAAAAGACGTTAATGGTAATCTAACAACCCAGCTTTATGATAAATGTGATGACTAAACTTTCAATCGTCAACTTCCCTTACTTAAGCAGCAATAAACCCTCATCACCTGCATATGGGTTGTATATCTCTTAGTTGTTCGATACGCAAGAGCATGCTCTACGTATTAACAATTTCTAAAAAGAGGCAAGTTATTGACAAACAAGTTGATGAAACAAAGAAATCAACAGTCTCGTTTAAAGTCATTATTTCGTAACTTTTATGGTAGATACAATGACCTTGTCAGCAAATACAATCTATCATTTACAGTGTAGTAATATGCTGACTAACGTTTTTCATACTACTTGTTAGGCCATTATTTACACACTGAATTGTCGACGGATTTTCCCGTTATTTCCCGATCATGACAAGGAGCACACGGCGGGTGTGACCGGTCGGCAGGGGACGTTCATTCCTCCATAGCACCTGATCCCACCTCCGTTTTTTGATCTGTATTGTTTTAATGGACTTTGAGCTTGAATACTGTTCGTTATCTCCATATTTCATTAATATGCTTCCAATATTTCTAGGTTTAAAATGCCCAGGACGACAAATTTATGCCCCTCCTGACATTGACCTTTCCAACACCTTTATATTTCTACTTCATTATATAATGAAGTATTGGTTACTATAGATGAATCAAAGATGAGAGACTGAATTGAGTGTGTTGTGCATTGATCATTTTTGCTGTACTAATATGAAATCCAGCAGAAAGTTAAACTTTTTAGGTTGTATGTATATTCATAACTTTGTCTTTTCAAATGGTTCAACGAATAGTTTCTTATATTTAATTATTAAACTGGTCACTGCTCCAAATAATGTAGTATTTGTAACTCTGTAATGGACTCAAAGTGCTACACATAAAACAAATTCTGAATTTGTACCAATAAATGAACGCTGAGTTTTCTAAGACTGTTTCTTAGCATCTACTATGTAAATAGTCTCAATTGACCTTGATATATAGCAGAATTTTGGCAGGTTTTAAAGATGAAATCCATATGTCTCCAGTGATATGGTATTCTTGTTGAGCCAAAAACCATAATTATGTAATAAATGAAAGCAGGGGTTTATGTGATGTAAAAATCAAAAATAGACGACAATTTTTTTTTTGCCAGACTGGTTATTTCACAGTATATATATATATATATATATATATATATATATATATATATATATATATATATATATATATATTTTTTCCAAGAAATGGTCTTTTCTGAAAATAACACTTTTCGAGATTGAAACTTTTTTTCTGTGACTCATCAATTCTGTAGTAGAATGACATTTGATAAGCATACCATAAACTAAAACTAAATTGAACTGAAACCTGCCAGTTTTGTGTAAATGATATTCCAAATAATATTCATGTTCATGTATTGACAAAAGCTGTGTTTTCAAATGCCCCATTTCCAATTATACAACCCAGTTATCGATCACTTAATGATCTAAATAGCGTTGCTTGAGTAATAACTTACAAGGGACTGAATATTATGTAGACAACTGTTACAGAGTTATTGCTCTAACAACATCTGTAGATATCAAATGAAAGAGATGAAGAGAACGGACAGTCATAGGGAGGAAAATAACCTTAAAAGTTTGAATTCACTCTAGTAATGGGTTTCAAATTAAATTACATGTATAACGATGAGACAATTTCATATTTTCAAAATTTTCTTTCTTTGTCTGTTTCCAATGATTTGAAGACTTGAATTGGTTAATAAATGAGAATTTCCGTTATATGGTACAGCCTGTGACACCCAAATACTTATTGATTTCATCTCAAAAGTGTATTTTTTGTCTGTTTTAGGTGATCTTCCGTGTTCTTCCTCCATTTATCCGGATAAATGATCCGTATGAGGAAAAGGTTCAAAACTTACTGAAGCTGACCAACCTTAGAGTGAACTTAACAGAACTCCATGGATTTGGTAGGCGTAATACTGCAGCTGGTGGCTTATCATCCACCCCTTTCTATCAGTTTGTATGAATATATTCACCTTGACTTTTTTAAGGTCACCTTAGTCTCTCAGGTGACCCATCACTATCCATTTTTGTCATCTCCATATGTCGTACCTTAACCTCAAAACTCAAATATTGAATGTTTATCATATAAGTCCAGACCAATTCCAATGAGCTCATAGCCTGAGAACCACATGATACTCAGCTGACCACCCAGGCCCTTAGGCATTTTTTGAAAAATTCATGTAGAATTAATATCCATAAATAAACTTGCATGGCCATAACAGTGGTCTTCAACTAACACTTGTCATTTATGTGCTATAGGGCAGCCAGTCTGAGCAAAATAGATGCAAAATGTACATCGAGTTTTCATCTATTTCTGCTCAGATTGGCTGTTCTAGATCAAATATTCTTTTATTCATAAAATATTGGGAATTGGTTGTCAAATGTACATGCATTCTCTGGTTATACCATCCCTACTTTAACCAATGGCCAGAAAAAAAATGTTAGTAACTTTCAATGTGAACTCTCGCCATAATGCAGTCAAGACCTTGAAACTCAGGTATTCAATAAGGACATATGGAAAGAAATTGAATGAAATTATTTGTATTAAGGATGATTGCTTGAAAGGGAGGGGCACAATATATAAAAATGGAAAAGATTTTACTTTTTTTTTCAAGTTGCTTCACAAGTAGGTGATTAGATGCATTGAAGAAAAATGTGTACAAAAATCTGGTCCTGTCTGTGTTTGCACAACAAAAATGAGGATTGTAACTTTATGGAATATTGAGTAATAAGATGTGATCGACTGGCAGATCAAAGTTTTTGGCTTTACCTGTACATGTCAATGACAATAAGATCTAGGAAGATAAATATTGTCTGGTCATTATAGCACAAAAGTCAACGGTTTACAAATCAAAAATTTTTTATGTTTAGCAGGATAGTGAATGGTAGTAAGATCTGTGGTTTGTTTAAATAGGTACTTTGAACAAAGGTTAGTCTCCAGAAATGAATATATATGGGAAAAAATACAAAAACTTGTGGCAGAACTTGATTTTTTACATAGGTATTTGATGTTACTTTTTATATAAATTTAAGTAAAAGTGGTTTTAAGTTATAAATAAATCATGTACAAGTGAATTACTGTAGATTCCTTATTTTACGCGGGTACTTAATATCGCGAAATGGCCCTAAAACGTCAAATCGCGAGAACAATAATTCGAGAATAGATAGATCAACTGATTTTACATGGATTTCAGCACAATAAAAATAAAAACGAGTAATTTTATTTCGCAAAATATGCTTCTCTCGTAATTACGCATAATTAATTCCTCGCGTATATTTAGAAAATCTACAGTAACCAAGAAGGACACATGTAACTCTTGCTTGGTTTTGCTAACTTCGAAGTATGACATAAAATTTTATTTTTAGAAATTGTTCTAAATGTTCGACGATCGTTCAAAAAAATGCAATCAAATAAAGGACTAAAGAAAATAAATATTTTGACATCCCTACTAAAAATGTATTATGAATTCATAAACTTCTCTCTTAATTTTGCTCTGGACAATTACCAAGAAAATTCTATGGACAGGAATCACATAGACACTATCTCATACAAAATAAATGCTCAGTTATAATGTACAAACTGCATTGTGTATTGTAAAAAAAGAACCCACTCTGTTTTCATTTGATAAATAGATCAAAGATCAAATTAAAGAGTTATAAATAAATAAAACTCAACTGTCAAGAACCTTAATTTGTGTCAGTCCCATTTAAAATTTCCTGTGCATATGATTTTTATTTTTCAAAAAGTAAAAATAAGAAATTTGTAAAGTAATGCATTACATTTCACTTACGTTTCATTAAAAATTTTCTGTTATTACATATCACATCCCATTACTTCGGCAAAATGTATATGTACAGTACCTTACCATTTCTCATTACCTGAGGTCTAACTCACTATGAGTTGTGTGAATATCATCATTTTATTTAGTTAAATAGTTTTTGATAATAGACAAGAGATGTATATTATACCTAACGAGTTTGAGTTCGCATGTAGGGTACAACAAGTATACATTTCTTTTGTATTACTAGACAGCAGACAAGAAATAAAGGACAAGTACTACTACGCAATGTACCATATGTCCGTCAGGGGCAGCTGTAGTTGTTACGGCCACGCCTCCAGATGTGAACCGGTAGCGGGCTACAACATCACACCTGACATGGTATTTTTACAGGAGTGGTCTAAAAATCGGGCAAAACCCTAGAGTAGCATGAAAAAATCGAATGTGTACCAGATATATGTTATTTTCTATTGAACTTTTGTGTGGTATTTTGCACTAAAGTCAAATATAAAGTGCAAATTAAAAAAATATTTAGCTGCAAATTTCTGTTGTTCAGCTTAAATTATTTCCTCACTTAGTTTTATCCGATACAAAATTCCCCTTAAACATTTATCATGTTATTCCTACTCAAGTTAGAAAATGGAACCCATACTGACAGAACGATATACATGTGGTTTTTTTTAGGTTCATGGTCAGTGTGTCTGTACACACAACACCAAGGGGCGTAACTGTGAACAGTGTTCAGACTTTGATAATGATCTTCCTTGGAGACCTGCAAGGAGAAACTCTCCTAATGCCTGTAAAAGTATGTAGAAACGGATTCATAGAAGCTAAAATTATAGATATTAAAAATATTTGCTGTTTATACGAGGGGTGATCAAAAAGTTCGCGAACTAATTGAATAACTTCCATAAAAGAAATGAAATTAGGTTTTAGTGTTCATTATTTTTTAAAGTAGTCCTCTCCGATTTAAATGCACATCTGCCACAGTTCTGCCCATGCGCAAATCACGTGATACAGGCGGTCACGTGACATGCTCCGAAGCGTTCCGTTCACAGGATGTACAAGATTTTTTCGAGTCTTATATTTCTTACCATGCAAGTTATTTTTTATAACAAGAACAGTCAACTTGTCAAAAATGGCCAAATCTCGGCAATAGGATGGGTGGATAAGGATATCCTTTCCCCGAATGAACATGGTGACCATCGCAACCCGAGTTTTCCGTCTTGGAGCGTCATTTATCCAATGTGGATATAAAGCATGGCGCCTTCTTTTTATCATATCTGATATGATGAAATTCTAAAGTAAACGATATTTTAGGGATTTAATAACTGTATTATTGTTAAGATATTCAACTATTTTTCTAACTGTAACTCGGTGGTCTTTCATATCAAATTGCTTAACTGTGGACACATCTCTTCCCCAGCTTGCTTTCACTGGGCAAGAGAACAAACATCATTTTTAACCATCTCCATTCTTTCACTAAAACAATCAATCCAATTAATGATTAAACTCCTGGCAAGTCTTTTGTCTTCATAAACTTTGTACAAAGTTATATATGCTATTGCAAAGGAATTTCCAAGATTCACATTAAACTTTACAGCAGTTCGTCGCTCGAGTACGACTGAGTCAATCATTTTTTGTCACAAGTAACCTACCTAGTCACAAACATGGATCAAAACATTACATAAAACTGCTATATATAGAACACATGTATGACTATATGTGTGCCAAATTTCATTCTGATCTGAATTGTGGTTTTGAAAATATAGAGATAGTTCGCGAACTTTTTGATCACCCCTCGTATTGTTTGTTTGATGCACAATTCGACTAGTAGTTTTTTCATTATAAAAACTTGATTGTAACATAATTTGAATGCCTTATTGTATGTGATTTAATAAATTTTCATGACTAAAAATGGAATAAGAAGGTTTGGAGGATTTATGTAATATATGTCTGATTTCAGAATGTAATTGTAATGGTCACTCGGACAAGTGTATGTTTGACCCGGCTGTGTATATATACAATGGGATCAGTGGAGGGGTGTGTCTGGACTGTCAACATAACACCATGGGCATAAATTGTCAGCAGTGTAAAGACATGTTCTACCCGGACCCTTTCCAAGACATCCGCAGTTCTAACATTTGTAAACGTAAGTGTAACACGTCTCAACCATCTGTAAATGTAACTGTAACATACCTCAATCATCAGTAAACGAAAGTGCAACATACCTCAATCATCTGTGAAACTCACAAAATTTCCAGACCAAGTCCATAGCTCGAATGACTACATATCTGTACACACGCTGAAAAAAAATAAAGAATGCTAATACAAAAGTCTAAGAAATTAATCACTCGATATATAAGACAAATTTTTAAGCTTACATATTTCTAATGTGTCCCAGGAATTGACACCTCTGCTCCATAAAGAAATCTATATATTCTAGAAGAGGTGCCAGAATGTACTGCGTCAATGTTAAAGGGGGGCTCAACACTAAAAATATATAAATATAAACAAACTGTCAAAAATAGTATCTGTGTATCTATATTTGATTGATCACACTGAAAAACTATAACTTAACACTCACAAAAATAAGAGATATTGCACTTTTTCAAACAGGTTTACTTACCCTAAGTGTTGAATACAGAGGGAAGTATAATTGTCAATTTGATAATTACTTTATGCATCCATAGGGCTGCGCAATAATATCGATATTCCGGTATATTGCGATTCGTTAACAAAAATATATCATATTGAGATACGTTTTTCCAGTGCCGGTAATCTGTAAAATGTTAGGGCCTGGGATTTCTAAAGTAAGATATGAAATTTAAGATACATGTTAAAAACGCTTTCAATCATGCCAAACAATAAGGTTGCTGTTGTATGGTTGTGTTTTGACAAAAAAGAAATGAAATCGACAAGAACCTTTTTGTTACAATGTTTTTATAAAACATACGTAGTTTTATTCACTCTGATTATAAATGGAGGTTAATAAAATAAGAAAAGAGCATTTTAACTGTTATTAATTAAAAATACTGTAATACATATCGCAATACAGTTTAAAATATCGCAGCATATCGCAATACAAAATTCCAAGCCGATACCCAGCCCTATGATTTATCAACATAAAAAAAAAACAGTTCGGGCAACAAAATTTCAAAGTTTTTCATTATTTCGCATGAATGAGTGACATTATGACGTCATAAATGCAATCGGTGGCAACATCATTTATTGTGTCATTATGAAACTGATTCGGATGTCGACGATGATAATATGTCCGACGGTGAAACCGTTAGGACGAGCGCTGTTTCATTTTTGTAATAATTATTCCACAATTTTTAACACCTCTCAAATGTCGTTTTAATTTGCATTTTGCTTATGACGTTACACTTTTTGTGTTTACTCTTTTGACCTGCGTCTTCTAAGTTCACCTTTTTTCAAAAAAAATATATTCATGACAAATAGAAATATTATGTAACTTTGCAGACTTCCAGTGCATCGGATCGGGATTCTGAACTTCTCAAATTTTTCTGACAAATTAGGAAATATTCGAGCCGTTTTGTCAACACATACGAAGTCATGTTAACTGAGGATGTAAACAGCTTTAGGCCAGGAACATGAATTAAATCCTTGTTTTAATTTTTTTGCAAGTACACTGTTGCTATGCCTAAGCGATCGTGTTGATACATGTATGTACCGCAAAGAATTATTAGGAGTTTAGAATTTTTTCAAGTTTTCACGTTATGTATAGAGCTTGATACGCAAGAGGCGCTTTGCACCGCTCGCCGCGCTTGCCATAATAAATATTTTAAAATAAAAGATACTGATTGTCAGGATATTAAAATAAATAAATAAAAATTATGAATAAATGGGCATGTCAAAATGATGTTTTTGACACCAGCAGCCATAGTCATGCACTAAAATATTTCATTGCCTTCCCGGTACTTTCCATCTTCCCGTCTTCTCCCATGCACTGCCATTGCTTTCTCCTGTTCTTCTCCCTTGTACAGTTACTTGCCTATGTTTAAATACTCCTTGAGTAATCAACATTTAACTTGCACTATTCCATCTCTTTGGGAGTAAGGCATAAGAATTGAGAAAGAGAGATAGAGAGAGAACATGTTTTCTCAAGCGAAATATGCATTAAAAATGTAGAAATTATTAGGAAAAAATTGCATAGTTGCGATATTAACTCATATACATGTATGTCCCCCCCCCCCCCCCATACACACACACACACAATACACACTTCTTTGAAAAACTGTATAAAATCTTCACCATTAAAAATTCCTTGTTTTAAAAATAATGTTTGATTGATTGTATGTTGTTTTACGTTCCGTTCAAGAATTGTTCACTCATATAATATATATATATATATATATATATATATATATATATAGAGAGAGAGAGAGAGAGAGAGAGAGAGAGAGAGAGAGAGAGACCTCACCATATACCGGTAATGGGCTTAAAAGTTAGATCTTTACTCGGCACTCAGGGTCATTGAGTAGTGAGGGATCTTTATCGTGCCAACGCCTGTCTTGACACGGGGCCTCGCTTTTTAAGTTTTCATCTGAAGGACCCGATACTTTCACTTCAAAGTGCCGTGTGCCTGGCGAAGGAACAGTTGCTACCTCCGATCTGTCTTAAATGGAAAGAAGGCCCAAGAATACATAAAAAAGATTACATTACTATAACAGGGGGGGGGGGGGAATCAGGGGCTGGGGTCCTTTTTTTAAATAAATATCTGACTCAAAAAATCTTTCTGATAAGTTAGGAACACACACAGAAAACACTGATGGAAAAATCTAGATTTTGGATCAAAATTTACAATATTTTTACAATATTTATTTTTTTCACTACTTCAGGTACTGGTCTAAATTATCGAAGCATATAGGACCGGTGTTGTAGAGTTAGATTTCCCCCATAGCCAGCTTTCATCCCGGAATCCGTACTCTAGAGTAGGATTTCCCTCAAGTAGAAATTTCCCCCTAGAGTCAAATTTCACCCTCTTTCTTTCTCAGAGTAGGATTTCCCCCCTTTCATCAATGCTTAAACCATATCGAGAATATTTGGCTAAAAGTTTATATGAAAGTCAACTGATTCATATGGAAATATATGAGTGATTTCGACTTAAGAAATGTCGAATTTAGGATGAAATCTTAAAATAATTAAAAAATCATTGAGTCTCAACCCAAAATTATAACTCTTGCAAAATTGTAAAATTAGTCACTCAAAATATCCTCTCGGCGCAGCGGTACGTGTTTGTTCACGAATTTCAAAATTATATCAGGGCACTTTTAGTTATTTGATAATTTGATTACCTCTAGGAGAAATCGTACTCTATAACTATTAAACGGAGTAGGATTTCCCACCGGAAAATTGAATCTGTTGTTGGATTTTCGTAGGGGGAAATCCTACTCTAGAGTCATTTTTCCGTGGTGGAAATCGTACTTTAGAGCCTATTTTCCGGGGTGGGGTGGGGGGAGGGTCCTACTGTAGAGCCAGATTTCCGAGGCGGGGGGGGTGGTGGTTAGAGCCTACTCTTTTCTACGGTGCAAAATGCATGGGGACAAGGACTTTTTTCCTGTCATCAAGTACAATGTAACGGCCGCCTCTATTTGATTATACTTGTAGCGAGTCGTTGCACAATAGTTAAGTCAAAGTTCTATTGATTAATAAGCAAACGCAACCTCACCTTATCATTTGCACACGCTTATTTCATGGGAGTTTTAGAAAAAGGAACGTCTCAACCTTGGAAATTCTTTCTTATCCCTGAGGAGTAGTTTATGGGATAGTTGTGGCTAATACTAAGACAACCACAACTGTTGCATTCCTGGCACCAGGGCCTTAAAACTCCACAGCCATATATTTTGGGGTTTCCTGAACTAACACAGGACTGAGGATCAATCGAGATTGTGTACCTGCCTTTAAATAAAGAAATAGACTCTGAGTCATATAAAGATGTGAGACCAGGATTCAGAGACTTATTTCCCGCTCGATACATATGTAGCTTTGGAATAGAAAATTTCAGCTTTATTTACAACAATTCAAAAGCCAAGAGAAATAGCCTATTAGTACGTGTCAAAATTATTACGTGTTTGTCAATAAGACAAAAAAATTAATATATGATTATGCCGAAACATCTTTAAGATCTGTTTTAACGGGAAAACATACAATTGGCTATATACAACGAGTTTAAGTAAACCTGTTTTAGCCAGGGATTTCGGGATACCGGAAGGTTAAAACGTTTTGTTCGGAATTTTTGGGTACGGTAATCCAGGCCATGTGATCTAACAAAAAGCATACGAAAATCGGTCTGTGTATCTTTCTTTATAATAACATAAAACAAGTGTTTACCCGTAATACCAGGATGTTTTCAAGGCATCGGGAAAACTGGACCGTCAAGCATATTGTTGCTCAAAAAAGGTGTAATTTAACAGTAAGTTTTCTTTATTTATTTTTAATCAATCTATTTATTATAATTTCAAACAATGTCGAGAAGAAGCGTTGCATTAAAGTGTCTGCAGTATCATCAATTCAAAGATTTGGTTTAATCTAGACGCAAGATAATAATTATTCTGAATGTCAAAACTTATTTATTTAAAAGGAAATTCTTTACTTACAGTATATAAGTATTGGAGATGATCGTTTTGGAGTGTACGGTTTTATCAATCAATAGACAGTCTAGAACCTTTTTTCTTCTTATGTTGCCATTACGTTAGATATCACAGCTGCTTCGCTCATGGTAACCACCACATCAACTGGTCACAATGTAGCGTTTGTCGGAACTAGCTCGAAGGAAATAAAGGAGGTAAATCCCACCCCAGAGATACCTTCTATTAAATAATATTGTCAACTTTGTTCTTCTTCTAAAAAGTTCCTACACCCTGTAAAAAATATTCATTGTTACAGATTAAGATTCAGACGAGTTCCATTGTAAAAGGGTATATCGAAGTAATTCTAGATGTTGGAATATCTATCTTATAATTTACAGTTGTCTGCGACAATCAAGATACACTATATGTGCTTACATTGAAAATGTATGTACGTGGTTTTCTAATCCAACTTTGCTAGGTGTCTTTTCTTTAAATTGATTTGATTCCACTTTTTTGGAAGCATTATGAAATGAATACTTTTTCTACTTAAAGTTAT